TAAGAAAGGACTTGTGTCACTAAAGTTTCGTCGGAACGAAGTTACGGAAAATTAACTAACGAACGGAGACGTAACAATATGAACATAAAAAATAATTAAAATATAGAATAAACCCTCTAACCAATGAATCACAACACAACCTTAAAAAAATACAATTTTATACAAGGTAAATAGTTGTACAAAAGAAAGAAAAATGAAAAAATGCAGAGATATCTATAAATTACACAAAATACACTCTTAAATAAATAAACAATAAAAATTATATGAAATATACTTAATTACTTAATAACAAGCATGAAGTCTACCTTCCCTTAATCCCATCAGCAAACCCTCTCATATGACAGCTAAGTGACAACAGGCAGGCATGGCCTAAGGGTCTTCTGGTTTCAGCCAGCTCCATATGCAACTGGTGGACCTTCTCTTTTAGCCAGGAAAATGGGGTGTTTCTCTGGCACAACTGGTCTTCCTTACAGTTGTATACAAAGCCCAGGCCTCTGTCCACTTCACAGTCATCTCTTGATAATGTCATTTCAGCATCAGGATCTGCAGCTGTACAGTGATTTTTGTTGGTGGAATCATTGTTAACTTGATCTTTGACTGCCACTGTGGTAGCTTCACTGCTATTGAAGTGGAAGGCCCCTTGTTCACTTCAAATGAAATGGTTGTCGATGATGTTGTTGTTATGGATGATGACAGGACTTGGCACAATGCACATTGTCACCCTGCCAGTGGTAGTAGTGGTCTCTGTCTTTGGAGGCTGTTCCCCATATCTCATCTATGAAATACTGTACCAAAGAGTCTAGTCAACTCTTTAGAGGACTTCAGCTTCAGTAATGTTCTCCTCCACTTCAGGAAGTAGCCAAAAATCTTGTGACATTTGTACACTAAATAGGGAACTCCCATTGTTTTGAAGACCATCTTAACTCTTTCTTTACCAGAGGAAGAGTGAGTATTGGTGACATGCTTGGCTTGTAGGCTGCCTCCAAGTTTGGTTTTATCTGCAGTGTGAAGTCTGTTGACTTCTTTGGTGGTGCTGCCAGTATGTCCAGGGTTGGTCTTGCATTGACTAATCAATCTGTAGTCGAGAGGTGCTGTCTTGCGCTAGGAGACTTCAGGGCTAGCCTAACAACCATTGAAGTGAGGTCCAGTATGTCAGATAGCAAAAGGTCTTCATTCATTCATTGAAAATCAGGTCAACACTGGGAGTCTTGGAGTCAACCTTATGATTTGCATCTCTGCTAAAAAACAAAACAATCCTGGGCATATTAGTTCTCACCAAAACATCCTTCCATAATGCAATAATCAAACTCAGAAGCTTAAACTGGTGAATGAAACATTCTGGCTAATTGAAGAATAAGATAGACAGAAGGGTCAAAAATTTGATCTTAAGCAGCAAAAGTCCAGATTGAATTCCAATTAGTCAGAAAGTAAGCCAGAAGTGTAGCTTGTAAAAAGGGTTGTAATTGTTTTTTTCACAGCCAAATTCTTCTCTAAAACAAACTTTAGAGACCCAGTGATAAAATTACTACATTGATCAAATGACATATCTACAGACTTCCCGTGTGCTCATGCCTATGTCACCCACTGAAAATGTATACTTAACACCTCTGAACTTCTCCATTCCCCAGGCTTCACTGCTTGACTAATACCTGTAATTGTGTTGCCTATTGTTGTCGAAGTAATGACAACAGCTGACACAGCTTACCCTCAAATTCAGATGCATTCCCTTCATTACAATCTGGTTGTTTTGTAAACAGAGCTGGGTCCAGTAGGAAAAAAATGGAATTGAAGTTGCAAATACTGGTTCCTGAACAAAAGCTGACTTGGGTCTGCCATTATATAAGTGCCAATTTGTAATTCTAACCATTAACACTTACGATGTATCTC